AACAATTTCTGACAGTTAATCTATGATGAAATTGGTAAGGGATCCAATGACTGGGCTTTTCAATCGTTGTACTGATCTATTCGAGGTCTTCTCATATTTTCTTGCAATGTCTGAGGTTGACCTCTGGTGCATACATGGCTTGAGATAAACAAACAAGTGAGATTGATACAACTTTAAGTAGGCGTAATTGATCATAAAATTTTAATGCAGTATTGGTATTTCATCTATTTTCGACATGGTATTTCAGTATTTGTCAATTTTTCTAACAGTATTTGGTTTTGGGTGACTCCCCAAAGCCCCCCTCACTGTTGTCTAGTGAAACTCCAAAGTTCTTGACCAGAGCTTCTACAGCTAAAAATTTAAATTTTCTGGGAGCCAACAGATATTCTGTTAATATTCACCTTTTAAGTTGTTGTGTTCTTCCTGCTATCAGGAATTCTGTCTTTTCTCTGATCACAAGATGTTCATCCTTGGACATCAAACTCTGTCTCAATGTACTGCGCTTCCTTTAAGAAATCCATGATGGAAGTTACTGATGGATCACTTAAAAACTCAACAACCAGATGACCAGGCACCACATTGCCATATCCAAACTGACAATGTGTCTCATTTAAGGCATCATACATTTTTAATGACACTGATTTCCAGAACTGATCACTTGAATCAGATGCAGAGTTCGTTTGCAATGTAGAACGCTCTTCTTCTAAAATGCTGAGCTCCTCTAAAGTCAGAATTTCTTTCTTGTGCTTTTGTGCGACCACACCAACCACTTTTATATCATCACCAATTCTACGTAACACTGGGCCACCTGAATTACCAGCATTCAAATCACAGTTTAATACCCAAAAAGGTTTACGATTATCGCCATATCGTTTCTTGAGGCCAGAAACGTAACCCTTGACAAAGAGTGCACTTCTCCCTGTATGAGTGAATGGATAACCAAAAGAAAAAACTGACAAGCTTGGCCACAGAGCTTCTTCAGACAAATCTAATGGACAAATTTTATGTTGCTTTAAATTTAGATCATGGCAATAAAGTAATGCCAAGTCATTGGCTGCATCACAATGAACCACCACACAAGGCAATTCACCGATGGTTTCGTTCAGAATACAAATCTGTAAGGTTTCGTCACTCATGGCTTCTTCGATGACATGCTTACTGGTTATTACAAAGTTATCAGCAATCGCAAACCCAGTACCGTGGTAGATTTCCTCAGGCTCAAAATCTTGTTCGTTGAATGTGGACATCCTTCGAAGGTGAGGTTGCTTCGTTAGAAGATTCCCAGCTTTGATTACTTCAGGCAGAATGAAATTGTGCAGCATGAGTAAAAGACAAAAACGAAGACTTGGATGTCTTGGATCGTATTGTTCAACTAGTTTTCGAAGCAGTCGCGCCATATATACAGCCACTTGGACACGGGCTAATGAAGGGAAGTGCTGATCTATTCCTTTAGTGATGTCAACAATGCGTCTGAGCACCACTATCAATGAAGACAAATCAGTAGCTTTGCATTTTTCAGCTTTATCCAACACATTCTGATTTAACGTATGAATAAAATAAACACACACCCCTATGATCATGAAGGTAGAAGCAACGAAAGATTGTTCTACATGAGGATCTATAAAGAGTCTATCAACAAAGCGGATTAAGCTAGACCAAGGGATGTTATCACGCAGTTCTCTTAAAGTCCCTGGACAGAGTCCCCTATATCTGTTGATCGTAACCTTCACGCAAGCATTATTACACTTCAGATACTCACTGTAAGACAATTCGTTTCCCTCCATTTCACTGGAAGAACCGCTCTTCCTTCTTCCGCATGGTGCAATACCCAGGTAACCAAGCCTTCAATGCAGCTACCTCGTCCCCAGTCGCTCACGATCACTTTTTGCGTGGCGAGCAAAGGAAGGCGGGAAAAGATTAAACATGGGCGAGTCGCCGCGTTGGCAAAGCGCGAGAAGTGGGGAAATTTCCACGTGCCCAAAGAAACGGTCCATTCCGGTTGCACAGACTCGACCCAAGCCACCGCGCGTTTGGTTATTGTTTTTGTAAGCAGGATACAAAAGAGCTGTGCTAGGGACATTTCGGTCCGACCTACCGAAATGACCAGAACCTTCAAAGCTGGTTCCGAATATTCCGGTGGGAACAAACTTAAATCATCCGTTCCATTTGATGTCTTTGACGTACCAACCGAGATTACCGGAATTTTTGGTCGAATAGAAAGCGCCCCTAGCTTGTCATCTCTCTTATTTCTCCTTCCCGTGGTCCCTTGCGGGGACACAAGGAAACGTCTGAGGTAGAGGGATCAGCTCATTCTCGTTCCCAGAGCCCGTCGTTTCTTGGTCACGTGGTCGGGGAACGAGTCGGTTACAAATTAAGCCGAGTGGCTCTGGGGACGAGAATGAGATCAGCTTTGAGAGATTTTTCAATTAATTATTACAGTTGTAAGTAGTCTGTTCCAAGCTGTCATATAGTAAGAATGACGCGTAAGTGAAAGGCATGCGAAATATGAGCACGTGATCAGTTTGTTCACGTTTTATTTTCGTATTCACGGCTTTCTTAATTTCGCAGCCCGACTATCTCGGAGTCTTGAAGAGGCTAATTGCTAAGGAAACTGGTGCCACTGAGTGATGGCTCCCTGTTCGCGCTTCGCTTGGTTCCAGCACCATTTAGCCTAGCCTAGGAAAGCCCGTGGACACCACGGACGGGTCCATAATGCGTACAGGTTATTGATCCCTTGTGACAAACTTTCCCACTGAACGGACCCTCACTGTTATTAAACAACACTATTTTAACTCGCGAGTTGACTGTGCTATTGTTAGTAGCAATGTTTTTAGTTTGATAAATTGAGACGTCTTTTACTTCCAGTTTTATAAATTGAAAAATGTATTTTCTTTGCATTCTTCCTAAATTTCCAATTTTTAGGTCCAGTGACAAGGGAATTTCGTTATTTTTTATTAGCCCCCGATGTAGCTTTAATTGCAAATCAAAACATTTGTTTCAATATGTGTGCTCCTGAAATATGCTTGTTTCCTTTTTGCAAGACACAGTGTTTCATCTGATATCAAGACTACAATTTTAAACGTTTTGCATTTTGCAGTTTATTCTTCGATATGACGTCATTCTAATTCAGGAAATTCGTGATTCCTCAGGAAAAGCAATTGTGGACTTACAGTCTTTAGTAAACAAGTGAGTGTCGGCGTATACTAGTGATGGTAGCCGTCGTTCACTGGAAAAGGAAACAGGGTATCACGAAGTAGAGAGTGGAAAAAGTAGAGAGATACTGGAAATGGGAAAAAGACTAGAATGTAAAGTGGAGATAGAGAAATTGGACAGAAGGATTGGTTCTTTATTTTTGGTCGCGCGCTATTGAGTTGAGCCGTAGACGTGTCTCGAATGTTGGCTAGTTCCAGCCTCGTTTCCAATCGTCCTCGGTGATCTCGGATGTGAGGTAGCCTGTCAAGCTTGCAACATGATCTCGAGATCACGCTGCAAGCTTGTCGGAGGCGGATAGCGCGAACTGGCCTGGGATTACTACGGTTTAGTGCCAGTCCATTATCAGAAATACCAAAATTTACGCAAGGAACAGTAACGAGGTTGGTCTTTTTCCTCACCATGGCCGGCCAGAGGGACTAATTCTGGACTTGTTTATTTCCTTTCACCCGCACCGCTCTCTCCTCCGCAGAGGTTCCCGCTGGGTATCCCAATAAAAATAGCAGTCATGGAAAAATAGGAGGCGAGCGGGGGACGATGGGAAGAGGTAGAAGACGGGAGCCTTCCCCTTCCCATACTACCGCGCGCTCTCTTTTTCTTTCTCCCCAGCCTCGCTACGACACAAAGAGGCCTCTACGGAGGAGAGAGCCTGCACAGCCTTTCTCATCGTGGTCTTTATTCGAGTAAGTTGTGTTTAAGTGGCCTCCGTTACTATACAAAAATATGAAACGGCGAACTGATCCTTACGGCAAGGCGATGAAGAAGTAAACAAAAGAATACACTCTAAATCCAAAAGATCTGTTTTAGTCCCAAAAATGAGGCCGTTTCGGTGAGTAAAATACAGTACTATTTTGGGGGCTAAAGTAGCCCATTTAGAATGGAGTCGTTTTGGCCCCAATAAACAGGGTAGAAATAGCCCTCTGTTAAGTGGCCAAAACGAACAGGCAAAAGGGCTGTTCTGAAAAAATAGGGGGTAGGTTTGGTTTCAGATAGGGTTGAAGTGGTTCATTTTAAGAGTCAATTCAGCCCTTACAGAGCCGTTTCATACCTTCAGGTTAAGATGAAAATTGGCCCATATTTCGTGGCCAAGTTAGCCCAATGTGGAGTAAAAGCAAATGTACTTTCTATGACTAAATCGGTACCATTATGTCTAAAATGAAATTTTTTTCCAGAGCCGTTTTGGACCTTAATTATTTATAACAGCCCATCCACAAGGATTATAATGGTTCTTGGTATTCTATAAAATGGCCCCATTTTTGGGCCATTTAGAATCAATACAAGGGGCATCAACGGTCACAATTTAGCCCAAGTAGTTATCAGAATCAGTGCCGTTTTAATTGCCAAATCAATGCCTAACTATAGCCCAAAGGAAAATAAACTTAAGTTCTCCTTCAGGTGTTAGTGACTGCTCTTTGAGGCTACAATTGACAGTCATTTACCCTAGAATACGGAACACTCACAGTAACTATACCGTACATCAGAGGCACCTCTGAAACTATTGCACGTATATTGCAACCTTACAATATACGTGTTACGTTGCACACAAACCGATAACCACTTTACGGCGACTGCTTACTAATGTCAAAGACAAAGACAAACCGGAGGACAGACAGGGAGCAGTATACAAGATCAAATGCTGCGACTGCCAGGCTTCTTACGTTGGTGAAACCGGCAGAAACCTAAGCACGCGACTAACCGAGCCTTTTTAGGTCTGTTTCAGTAAAAATTGTGAGTGCATTTGACAACTTGAAACAACAATTCTATGTCGTTGTTCTCGTAATAAGTTCACATTAAGGGTTTGGTACTGAATTGAACTTTGCATAAAAGAGAATATATTTATATCAAGTGCGTAAATTTCATTTTTGGGTTTTTGGTAAAGCACTACGTAAAGCTTTCCTATCAGTTTTCCTAAAGGAAGTTAACTTAAGGTTTTTTTCGGTAGGCCGTTTTCAGGTTTTAATAGGCCTTTTCAAAAATACCATAATGTTCTTTAAAGTGCAAGTTTAGCTGCGTCTTCAAGAAGACATATTTCCACTGTTCTAAACGGAGTTAAGTTGTCGTTCCGGTTTGGATTCATAGGCCTAGAGAACGGTTCGGCGTTTGCTTTTAGTCAGAAATCATCATTTAATAGCTACCCCAGCCTCGCCACCAGGCCAATTCGCGTTATCCGAATGAACAGAGAAGGCTTGGAACCAAGCGCGCCCTCAACGAGGGTGGGATGGTAACTCCTAGGTGTGATAAGCCTAAACGTAAACGCTAAAGAGTATTATGGTATTTAAGCAAAGGCGATTTTATTTGCTGACGTCATACATTGCATTTTTTTTATAAGCATAGACAAGGCACAATAGAGAGGAGATGAGTCGTTGCGTCACGTTGCCATGGTATCCATTTCTGAATCTCACAAACCGTGGCCCTGCAAATATTGCAGGAAAAAAATTGACATGATTCACTTTCCTGTGCATGATTAGACTCAGGAACAAAACGGTAGCTCGACAATTAAAATGGCCGTCTCTGTCAATAAAGATTGTTGAGATGCAGAAATTTTGCTACCATAGAAACGTGACGTCACACTTCTCTTTAAGTTGATGTAAGTAGACTTTTTTCGCCTTCTGTGTTTTATAATATCATGTCACAATCTCAGGAGATTTAATTCTTTCCTTGTTGGACGTAAAAATTGCATCCCAGCATAATTATGTTCAATTTTGAAAGGTATACCTCTCTAAAACTTTGTCAAATGATCTTTACCAAGATAGCAATAAGGTTTACTGACGAAAATTGGTATCTTCAGAAATTGTTTGATTTTTATTTCTTTCATTCCCGCAACTACTATTTTTTTGCTGTGATGTTAGAGAGAAATTTGTTTTAAAATTGGAAATCCAGTCACATTTTGAATTATTTGGTTAATTAAACAAGTTTTTGAGCTCAGACACCGGATCCAAAACGTCTTGCAACCGGCGTTAATTAACACAATGAGTTTAAAGGAAACAAAATCTGCGTGTAGAATTGTTATAAAAGAATTAACTCTAAACCGTCACCAGCGACACAGCATCGGATAAAATACATTTTAGCCTGTTAAGAGATCCCGGAAAGCTGTCGTTTCTGTCACTTAACTGCATAACTGGAACACATTATTTTTAACCAGTTAGTTGAATTTTTTCTTGATACCCTCGAAAATTGTCTACTTTTTCATCTTAGCTTCCTTTTAAACAGTATTTAAAATGTCCTTTTTAAGAGAAATACTCCAACAAAAGAAAATACATTAAAATACATTTGAACGAGTTAAAAGCGCAGCTCCTGAAACCCTCGAAAGCTTTTCACTCTCTCACTGATCCACAAACAATAGTCAATCTTGTTTGCATTTTATTCGTAACTTATTGGTCCTTGACACGCCTCATACACATTACCTCGTTACATATGTAAATATTGGTTCTTCATACACTTGATACTTATCTTACCGCCGATAATGAACGACAAATTTAGATTG